GAGAGACTGGCCACTCCATCCATCATTGGAGCCTGGGAGGAAATGTTCAGCATCCACCACTTGTTGATTCAAGCAAGACTTACCACCCTAACACACAAAACAATAGGTAATCATATATTTAATTCTTATATCTGAATTCAGGATGTCAAAATGCATGACATACCAACCCGCCCTCTTAAGGCTACAAAACGTCAAGAAAAATGTTAATTTAATGCGTTCTCTCCTAACCTAACAGACTAAGCCAGAGGACCCAAAACAGAAAACGGGACAGTACGTCACTTTCGCGAGCCGCTTCCTTTTTCATACGAGGTTACCTCGAGGTGCTTCCGGGGCTTAGCGTCCCCGCGGCCCGGTCGTCGACCAGGCCTCCTGGTTGCTGGACTGATCAACCAGGCTGTTGGACGCGGCTGTTCGCAGCCTGACGTACGAGTCACAGCCTGGTTAATCAGGTATCCTGTGGAGGTGTTTGTCAAGTTCACTATGATAACTAACGTTACTACGCAACTATGAAAAGTAATTTCTTGCAAATATATGTTTTCTATGCATAGGACAAGACAGGTTAGGTCAGTTGCTTGGGTTTCTACGCTTTTGGTTAGGAGGTTGGCTTTTGTACAGTGGCAAGTGAAGAGAACGGACTGGTTCACCAACCTCTCGTGTTGAACAAATAAACACAAGTCTATATATACATTTAAAATTGTAATCAATTGAAAACACAAATTAATGCAAAGTGTCCCCGAGTAGCTTCAAGAAAAATAATACATGTATGGTATGACACTATACATATGGCTCAACAGTATACCTGGTACTAGTAAATGTGGCATAATTGAACATTGGCAGTTTGAACAATCTTACCTTGACGAGGGAGGTAGAGTTGTTCTACCCCCCCCCCCCCCCAAGGCCGAGACCGACCTGGCTCTGACATTACTTGTGGCACAATAATATTTGTAGCAACAGTACATGTTGTTCAACAGTACACCTGGCACCAGCGCACGCGCCAACGGCACACCTGGCAACAGCGCACGGGCCAATGGTACACCTGGCAACAGCGCACACGCCAACAGTACACCTGACAACAGCGCACGCGCCAACAGTACACCTGACAACAGCGCACGCGCCAACGGTACACCTGACAACAGCGCCAACACCTGGCAACAGCGCACGCGCCAACAGTACACCTGGTAACAGCGCACACGCCAACAGTACACCTGTTGACCAGACCACACACTAGAAGGTGAAGGGACGACGACGTTTCGGTCCGTCCTGGACCATTCTCAAGTCGATTGTGGACCATTCGTCGTCCCTTCACCTTCTAGTGTGTGGTCTGGTCAACATACTTCAGCCACGTTATTGTGACTCATCGCCTGCAACAGTACACCTGGCAACAGCGAACGCGTCAACAGTACACCTGGCAACAGCGAACGCGCCAACAGTACACCTGGCAACAGCGAACGCGCCAACAGTACACCTGGCAACAGCGCACGCGCCAACAGTACGCCTGGCAACATTGCAAACGACAACAGAGCACGTGACAACAGTCAAGACCACTACGGGCTCACCATAGCCCATGCTACTTGGAACTTGTTCAGGGTAGGTAAATCTAAAACAACAACAACAAGCAACAACAGTACACCTGGCACAGCGTATGAGGCTCAACAGTAAACCTGGCATAGGGTATGAGGCACAACAGTACACCTGGCAACAGCATATAAGGCACAACAGTACACCTGGCACAGCGTATGAGGCTCAACAGTAAACCTGGCATAGGGTATGAGGCACAACAGTACACCTGGCAACAGCATATAAGGCACAACAGTACACGAGGCACACCAGTACTCAAGGAAACACAGTACACGTAGTACAGTACAGTACTACAATACAAATAGCGCGAAAGAATAAACCTGTCACTAGATGGGGAAGACATTCAGAATCCTTGTTGCTAACCTTATTATAGTAACGGACTGTGCCAAGCTCAGCTCGGCATCAAAATCTTAAGCACGCGTCTCTGACGTGTGCCTGGGGATTCCAGGATCGTTTGCCCATTGACACATCTTCTTATGAAACTGTGAATGAAATCGATCTCCGTGCTCTATACCACTTGTCGTGGCTCATTCCGCCACTGCTCGTATACTGCAGGAATTATCGTTTCCTGTTCCCACATGCGCCCTCTCTCCCATCCCTACTAAACAGTCCACGTGTGTAAGTACGCGTAACAGTGTATTTATTCTGTGTTCCTGTTTGTGCTCACATGATCGAGATTTAGCTCTTGGATCCCACCTTTTCAGCAGTCAATCGTCTATGTAGCCTCGAGGAGAGTTGGTACTATATAAATTGATATCAATCCAGATATCAATATTTTATATAAAACTAAAAAAAAATCTTAAAAATACTTATCAAAGGACTATTTACCTGTAACTGGAACTCGAGGAAAATGTTACAACTCCAAACTGTCATAACATTTCCTTTGCAAATGACTGCAATTTCCATATATGTAGGGTACAAGATAGGCTATGTTGTTGCAGACATAAAAGTGTGTGGCACCATAACCACTAGATTCACAGAAAAGGTCAACATATCATAGAAAATGGTATTATAAACCAAAGAAAATGTCACGAAGATTAAAGCAATATCACTAAAACGAAAAAAAGCAGTCGAATTAAAAATAAAATAAAGAAAACTTTAAATAAACGTCACTATTTTGCATAAAATGTTTCATATTACTAAACCACACTCGCATAGTTTAGCAAATGCTGCTAATATCGGTATAGTCACCATAGTTTTAAAAATCACCATATTTAATCCACAAGCATACCTTGAAGCACCATAACAGCATGGATATCACTGACACAACAACAAAGCTTAGCGTCATTATTGGACAAACAGTAAAGGGAGTCCGAGGCTGCTGTTGTAACCCAGAATCATCGTTCCTCGTAGATGAAATAATCTGCAGGCGATGAGTCACAATAACGTGGCTGAAGTATGTTGACCAGACCACACACTAGAAATTGAAGGGACGACAACGTTTCGGTCCGTCCTGGACCATTCTCAAGTCGATTGTCAATCGACAACAATCGACTTGAGAATGGTCCAGGACGGACCGAAACGTCGTCGTCCCTTCAATTTCTAGTGTGTGGTCTGGTCAACATGAAATAATCTCCCCAACAACAATAATAACAAACCTTTGTTGATAGTGTTATTGACCTTCTCTGTTATTGTCCCCCAACAAACTTTTCTACATCTCTAAGTGGCAACACAATCAAGAACCAACTAAATCTTATTTACTGACTGAATCATTATAAAAGAAAGCCATATACATTTTCATGTTTATTACTGTAGACCAAAGTCGAATGGTGATGCCAGTCTCAAATCTATCAATATAGCTCATTGCCAATCATGTAGACAAAACTTTATAAATCCATTTCTCATTAAAATGTACTATAAAATATAAATGTGCACCGAAAATGTACAATGCATAGTTTTGTAGGAAATCTTGGCCAGAATAAACAACCACGCCCCCCTGCATGGACTCCGTTTTCTGTTGTGGAATTTTTATAGTCGAAAATACCAAGTAATGTCACCTGGGTTGTTCCTCTCCAAGTTTCTTGCCATAATTAGCTTAAACCTCACTGTACTTCCTGACAAATTAACGAGTGAGGATATGTTAAAACGCTCCACTAGAGTGTTAATCTAATACAACGGACATTGCGCCACCCACTACACAACACGTACGTGAACCCATTAATCCAAGTATTGTAAGCAAATTAAGTGTTTAGATCCATAGACCTAAGTCAAGTTGTCTATACCCAGACTGTGTATAAACCCACTGACCTAATAGGCTTTCTATCCCCGATAATGGGAAATAAATTCAGTGTACGTAATACACCAAAAAATATGTAACGAACACCTGAAACTATGCGTCAATACGCATAGCCCATAGTACTAAATCATAAGCCTATAGAACTAAATCACCTTAACTGTGCAAACCTACTGACTAGCATGAAAATTTGTTGCCATGTCACTGTGTACCTAAATACGTGAGTAAACCCAGAGTAAATCGATGTGTAGGCCCACTGACCCATATCGGTGTGTAGGCCCACTGACCTATATCAGTGTGTAGGCCCACTGACCCATATCAGTGTATAGGCCCACTGACCCTATATCGGTGTGTAGGCCCACTGACCCATATCGGTGTGTAGGCCCACTGACCCATATCGGTGTGTAGGCCCACTGACCCATATCGGTGTGTAGGCCCACTGACCCATATCGGTGTGTAGACCCACTGACCCATATCGGTGTGTAGACCCACTGACCCATATCGGTGTGTAGGCCCACTGATCCATATTGGTGTGTAGGCCCACTGACCCATATCGGTGTGTAGGCCCACTGATCCATATCGGTGTGTAGGCCCACTGACCCATATTGGTGTGTAGGCCCACTGACCCATATCGGTGTGTAGGCCCACTGACCCATATCGGTGTGTAGGCCCACTGACCCATATCGGTGTGTAGGCCCACTGACCCATATCGGTGTGTAGGCCCACTGATCCATATCGGTGTGTAGGCCCACTGATCCATATCGGTGTGTAGGCCCACTGATCCATATTGGTGTGTAGGCCGACTCGCCCATATCACTGAGTAAAGATACTCACCCACATCTGTGTCCAAATCCTTATCAGTCTGTACACCATTTCAATGTAAGTAATTATCAAAAGACGGTACCAAGCTGGGAAGAATAATAAACCAGCTTTTAATAAACCTATTTTGTTATCTTTATTTAACAAAATACAATATAAAAACATTGACTTAGAGCTTAGTCAGTATGTAAACAAAAAACCTAAATCATTGTTAACGTGGTCATAAATCAACCTAAATCCATAGACCTATATCAGTGGGTACACCCAGACTTAAATAATTACTAACCCCACAGACCTAAATAATTGTAAACCCCAGATCGAATCGGTGAAAGAAATTAAAATCAACAAACCAAGACTAAAATGTAAACCAATGTTAAAATGTGTGTCAATTCATAACCCAAATCAGTGCATACGTCCAGACCCAAAATCAGTGAATACGCCCACAGACCCAAAAATCAGTGAATACGCCCACAGACCCAAAAATCAGTGAATACGCCCACAGACCCAAAAATCAGTGAATACGCCCACAGACCCAAAAATCAGTGAATACGCCCACAGACCCAAAAATCAGTGAATACGCCCACAGACCCAAAAATCAGTGAATACGCCCACAGACCCAAAAATCAGTGAATACGCCCACAGACCCAAAAATCAGTGAATACGCCCACAGACCCAAAAATCAGTGAATACGCCCACAGACCCAAAAATCAGTGAATACGCCCACAGACCCAAAAATCAGTGAATACGCCCACAGACCCAAAAATCAGTGAATACGCCCACAGACCCAAAAATCAGTGAATACGCCCACAGACCCAAAAATCAGTGAATACGCCCACAGACCCAAAAATCAGTGAATACGCCCACAGACCCAAAAATCAGTGAATACGCCCACAGACCCAAAAATCAGTGAATACGCCCACAGACGCAAAGTCAGTGAATACGCCCACAGACGCAAAGTCAGTGAATACGCCCACAGACCCAAGGTCAGTGAATACGCCCACAGACCCAAAGTCAGTGAATACGCCCACAGACCCAAAGTCAGTGAATACGCCCACAGACCCAAAGTCAGTGAATACGCCCACAGACCCAAAGTCAGTGAATACGCCCACAGACCCAAAGTCAGTGAATACGCCCACAGACCCAAAGTCAGTGAATACGCCCACAGACCCAAAGTCAGTGAATACGCCCACAGACCCAAAGTCAGTGAATACGCCCACAGACCCAAAGTCAGTAAATACGCCCACAGACCCAAAGTCAGTAAATACGCCCACAGACCCAAAGTCAGTGAATACGCCCACAGACCCAAAGTCAGTGAATACGCCCACAGACCCAAAGTCAGTGAATACGTATATCATTCAGTTTTTTTAATTATCTTGTTCTGTACTACTAAAACACTTGTTCACTAAGAATTGTAATGTATAATTGCCTTGTAACACTTTTGTATATGTAATTAATATTGTATTTTTTAAAATAAAGAAAAAAAAATACGCCCACAGACCCATTGTATAAATTAATCTACAAACCCAGACATAAATGTGTTTAAGTCACTGACCAAAATTAATTTGTAAACTCATTGACCTAAATGTGTGTAAACCAAGAAACCCTAAATCTGAAGACCTAAACCTGTGTGCAAATCCATAGACCATAATTAGTATGTAAATCCACAGACCTATAGTGTAAATATGTAGACCTAAGCCAGTGTGTAAATATGTAGACCTAAGCCAGTGTGTAAATATGTAGACCTAAGCTAGCGTGTAAATATGTAGACCTAAGCTAGCGTGTAAATTCCATACGCCTAAACCAGTGTGTAAATCCGATACATCTAAACTAAAAAATTCGTATACCTAAACCGGCAAGTAAATCCGTACACGTAAACCGGTGTAAAAATACGTAAACAAATGTGTAAATCCAAACACCTCAACCAGTGTGTAAATCCGTACACCAAAACCACTGTGTAAATCCGTACACCAAAACCACTGTGTAAATCCGTACACCAGAACCACTGTGTAAATCCGTACACCAGAACCACTGTGTAAATCCGTACACCAAAACCACTGTGTAAATCCGTACACCAAAACCACTGTGTAAATCCGTACACCAAAACCACTGTGTAAATCCGTACACCAAAACCACTGTGTAAATCCGTACACCAAAACCACTGTGTAAATCCGTACACAAAAACCACTGTGTAAATCCGTACACAAAAACCACTGTGTAAATCCGTACACCAAAACCACTGTGTAAATCCTTACACCAAAACCACTGTGTAAATCCTTACACCAAAACCACTGTGTAAATCCTTACACCAAAACCACTGTGTAAATCCTTACACCTAAACCACTGTGTAAATCCTTACACCTAGGCCACTGTGTAAATCCTTACACCTAGGCCACTGTGTAAATCCTTACACCTAGGCCACTGTGTAAATCCTTACACCTAGGCCACTGTGTAAATCCTTACACCTAGGCCACTGTGTAAATCCTTACACCTAGGCCACTGTGTAAATCCTTACACCTAGGCCACTGTGTAAATCCTTACACCTAGGCCACTGTGTAAATCCTTACACCTAGGCCACTGTGTAAATCCTTACACCTAGGCCACTGTGTAAATCCTTACACCTAGGCCACTGTGTAAATCCTTACACCTAGGCCACTGTGTAAATCCTTACACCTAGGCCACTGTGTAAATCCTTACACCTAGGCCACTGTGTAAATCCTTACACCTAGGCCACTGTGTAAATCCTTACACCTAGGCCACTGTGTAAATCCTTACACCTAGGCCACTGTGTAAATCCTTACACCTAGGCCACTGTGTAAATCCTTACACCTAGGCCACTGTGTAAATCCTTACACCTAGGCCACTGTGTAAATCCGTACACCAAAACCACTGTGTAAATCCGTACACCAAAACCACTGTGTAAATCCGTACACCAAAACCACTGTGTAAATCCTTACACCAAAACCACTGTGTAAATCCTTACACCAAAACCACTGTGTAAATCCTTACACCAAAACCACTGTGTAAATCCTTACACCTAGGCCACTGTGTAAATCCTTACACCTAGGCCACTGTGTAAATCCTTACACCTAGGCCACTGTGTAAATCCTTACACCTAGGCCACTGTGCAAATCCTTACACCTAGGCCACTGTGCAAATCCTTACACCTAGGCCACTGTGCAAATCCTTACACCTAGGCCACTGTGCAAATCCTTACACCTAGGCCACTGTGCAAATCCTTACACCTAGGCCACTGTGCAAATCCTTACACCTAGGCCACTGTGCAAATCCTTACACCTAGGCCACTGTGCAAATCCTTACACCTAGGCCACTGTGCAAATCCTTACACCTAGGCCACTGTGCAAATCCTTACACCTAGGCCACTGTGCAAATCCTTACACCTAGGCCACTGTGCAAATCCTTACACCTAGGCCACTGTGCAAATCCTTACACCTAGGCCACTGTGCAAATCCTTACACCTAGGCCACTGTGCAAATCCTTACACCTAGGCCACTGTGCAAATCCTTACACCTAGGCCACTGTGCAAATCCTTACACCTAGGCCACTGTGCAAATCCTTACACCTAGGCCACTGTGCAAATCCTTACACCTAGGCCACTGTGCAAATCCTTACACCTAGGCCACTGTGCAAATCCTTACACCTAGGCCACTGTGCAAATCCTTACACCTAGGCCACTGTGCAAATCCTTACACCTAGGCCACTGTGCAAATCCTTACACCTAGGCCACTGTGCAAATCCTTACACCTAGGCCACTGTGCAAATCCTTACACCTAGGCCACTGTGCAAATCCTTACACCTAGGCCACTGTGCAAATCCTTACACCTAGGCCACTGTGCAAATCCTTACACCTAGGCCACTGTGCAAATCCTTACACCTAGGCCACTGTGCAAATCCTTACACCTAGGCCACTGTGCAAATCCTTACACCTAGGCCACTGTGCAAATCCTTACACCTAGGCCACTGTGCAAATCCTTACACCTAGGCCACTGTGCAAATCCTTACACCTAGGCCACTGTGCAAATCCTTACACCTAGGCCACTGTGCAAATCCTTACACCTAGGCCACTGTGCAAATCCTTACACCTAGGCCACTGTGCAAATCCTTACACCTAGGCCACTGTGCAAATCCTTACACCTAGGCCACTGTGCAAATCCTTACACCTAGGCCACTGTGCAAATCCTTACACCTAGGCCACTGTGCAAATCCTTACACCTAGGCCACTGTGCAAATCCTTACACCTAGGCCACTGTGCAAATCCTTACACCTAGGCCACTGTGCAAATCCTTACACCTAGGCCACTGTGCAAATCCTTACACCTAGGCCACTGTGCAAATCCTTACACCTAGGCCACTGTGCAAATCCTTACACCTAGGCCACTGTGCAAATCCTTACACCTAGGCCACTGTGCAAATCCTTACACCTAGGCCACTGTGCAAATCCTTACACCTAGGCCACTGTGCAAATCCTTACACCTAGGCCACTGTGCAAATCCTTACATCCTTACACCTAGGCCACTGTGCAAATCCTTACACCTAGGCCACTGTGCAAATCCTTACACCTAGGCCACTGTGCAAATCCTTACACCTAGGCCACTGTGCAAATCCTTACACCTAGGCCACTGTGCAAATCCTTACACCTAGGCCACTGTGCAAATCCTTACACCTAGGCCACTGTGCAAATCCTTACACCTAGGCCACTGTGCAAATCCTTACACCTAGGCCACTGTGCAAATCCTTACACCTAGGCCACTGTGCAAATCCTTACACCTAGGCCACTGTGCAAATCCTTACACCTAGGCCACTGTGCAAATCCTTACACCTAGGCCACTGTGCAAACCTACACCTAGGCCACTGTGCAAATCCTTACACCTACAAATCCTACACCTAGGCCACTGTGCAAATCCTTACACCTAGGCCACTGTGCAAATCCTTACACCTAGGCCACTGTGCAAATCCTTACACCTAGGCCACTGTGCACTGTGCAATCCTTACACCTAAGCCACTGTGCAAATCCTTACACCTAAGCCACTGTGCAAATCCTTACACCTAAGCCACTGTGCAAATCCTTACACCTAAGCCACTGTGCAAATCCTTACACATTAGCCACTGTGCAAATCCTTACACCTAAACCACTGTGCAAATCCTTACACCTAAGCCACTGTGCAAATCCTTACACCTAAGCCACTGTGCAAATCCTTACACCTAAGCCACTGTGCAAATCCTTACACCTAAACCACTGTGCAAATCCTTACACCTAAACCACTGTGCAAATCCTTACACCTAAACCACTGTGCAAATCCTTACACCTAAACCACTGTGCAAATCCTTACACCTAAACCACTGTGCAAATCCTTACACCTAAACCACTGTGCAAATCCTTACACCTAAACCACTGTGCAAATCCTTACACCTAAACCACTGTGCAAATCCTTACACCTAAACCACTGTGCAAATCCTTACACCTAAACCACTGTGCAAATCCTTACACCTAAACCACTGTGCAAATCCTTACACCTAAACCACTGTGCAAATCCTTACACCTAAACCACTGTGCAAATCCTTACACCTAAACCACTGTGCAAATCCTTACACCTAAACCACTGTGCAAATCCTTACACCTAAACCACTGTGCAAATCCTTACACCTAAACCACTGTGCAAATCCTTACACCTAAACCACTGTGCAAATCCTTACACCTAAACCACTGTGCAAATCCTTACACCTAAACCACTGTGCAAATCCTTACACCTAAACCACTGTGCAAATCCTTACACCTAAACCACTGTGCAAATCCTTACACCTAAACCACTGTGCAAATCCTTACACCTAAACCACTGTGCAAATCCTTACACCTAAACCACTGTGCAAATCCTTACACCTAAACCACTGTGCAAATCCTTACACCTAAACCACTGTGTAAATCCTTACACCTAAACCACTGTGTAAATCCTTACACCTAAACCACTGTGTAAATCCTTACACCTAAACCACTGTGTAACTCCATACCCCAAAAATCAGGTGTAAATCCGTACACCTAAAAAAAGTGTGTTAACCTGTAAACCTAAACCACTGTAAATCCGTAAACTTAAACCAGCGCGTAAAATGTATGAACCTAAGCCAACACGAAAATCCATAAACCTAAACCAGTTTGTAAACATACCTAAATCAGTGGGGGGGGGGACACCGACCCCTACTGACAGTCGAGTCACATAAAAAAAAAACAAAAAAAACCGCAACATGCTTTTTATCTGGCAGCTCTCACAAGTTCACTATAACTAGTCATTCTTCACTCGCAATAAAAAAAACACTGAATGCCAATGACCTCATTATCGTATTGCTATTATTTACTATATGGCTACGATTAAAAGTTTTGAATACCATTGTCGGGGGAAAACAGCCTGTTAGGTTCATCAAGATCCCCGCCCCCCCAGCCTGTCCACCTGGTCACCCATCCAGTTACTAGCAAGCCCCATAGGGGCTTAACCTGACAGAGGGACGTGCACGTATCATGCCGCGCACATATCTAATTTTAGGGAAAACAAATATAGGTATGCGGTTTCAAAAACTACAACATGCATCCTATAGTTATGCACAAGTTTATAAATTCTTCACGTGACTACAAAAACCCGAGGTGCTTACCTCACGGCACTTGCGATGACGACATATTCCTACACTCACTATATGTATCACTAAAGGCGGTATTTGGGTGAGTCAAGCGCACACACCACTATATAACGCACTCTCCCTCAATGCCACTATTGACTCGAACACATGCTTGAGCACATCACTAGAGGCCACATCACCCATTGACGTCATGGAGCCCACACCGCCGCCTGACGCAACACTACACAAGTCCCACTAAGTCAACCCACTGCGCATCTGACTCACCTCACTCACGGATAAGATGGCGCAACACCACCTCACTCACCACACCACATCCGACCCCACACCCGCTCAATACACAGCACTCGCGACCAGACCGGCTCCAAACTGGTGTTAACGGGGGAAATAGCACCGCCAGACCCAATGAGTCATACTAAAGTAACTCTGAACAGTTGCCGCAACACGCGCTCTCTCTTCCAACCCTTCCACACACTCGTTACTCGCTCAACACCTTTTAAAAACCCCGCTATTAACGGCCGTTCACCGACCCGGTCGTTAGGGCTCACTTCAAATTACGTTCACATAAATTTCAGAAAGCAAACAGCATTCACGATTCCAGTTGTGATGTTATGCATATTACGTCATAAACAGTCATTATCTTCACCAAACACAACTTATTTAAGTACAAATCCATCCATGTGTCAGTCAGCGCGCAGAGAATGTCGAAAAACGGTGACAAATTGGCTAATCAGGGCATTAACTAACCATCTACAATCGACGTCTTCCTCTCCTCATGGTGCAGCTGGTTCAAAGATGGCGTCCCAGATGGTGTACACTCCCACTACCACGTAAATGGCATCAGTTGGCAACTCGTGAAACAAGTATCAAGTCCGGCCGGTGAGTGCACGCACTCCAACACACTATACACTTCCTCTCTCACTGTATTTCCATAATTCAGAGTGAAGGTGTAGCGGCAGGCGGGGAGGAGAACCGGTGGCACTGTAGCCGGTATTGAGGCGAGTCCAGGTCTACAGGCCATGGGGAGGAGGATAGAGAAGGTTCCCGGGTTCGCTGTATCACCCCCCAGCCCCCGTGGACCAGCCCCAAGCCCTCCCCAGCTTGAACCAGCTGCACCATTACACACAGCCAATCTCCAGTCACTATCATCGCCACCTGACCAATCCCCGCGCGAGTTTCCAGTCACCTGACCAATCAGCGCTCGCGTTCCACGCCACCTAACCAATCAGCGTGAGGAACGTCCCAGCCTAGGGGTGCAGGGGAAGAAAATTGATGGTCTGAAATACACCCGGTTGGCATGGTAACGGCCCCAGTGTTCCTCTTCACCAACATTCAGTATATTTACACAAAGGATATACACTGAAGCGCATTCTAATTGGGGTGTATAGAGATACCTCTGCTGATAAGGGCATAGAGATTCATTTACAGCGAATTTAAAAACGCTGAATCCAGATTAAATTTGTTGATTCGTTCAGGATTTTTATATGACGTTTATTCAATAACTGTTCGTGCTTTAATAGACTAATGTTATTGCAATTAATCATGCGTTCAATACTGCTGAAGCTTAACGACAACTGCTTTCGCCAGCTGACATGAATAACAAGTGACATTGCGCAATAAGTTATTTAACCCAACCTGTAAAACATTATCCTTCATAACCCCCCCCCCCTCCCTAACCCCATGCCATTTCTAGTACAGCTGGCAAGAATTTGTAATTGGTTGAATCTGTCGGGTGTGTTTTTGCTGCAGCGGAGACATTTCCACACCCACAGCGACAACCACAACCACGCTCATCCGAACCCTGCAGCTGTAGCCGACTTGGGTTTTACAATGCCGATGGGTCTCGGGCTGCGATTAAAATTACTCAGGATATGTATACCGGCGGGAATTGGGTCGCGGATCCAGCTAGAAATCCGCGCGCCGTCTAGCCATTGTGTCTCATGAATGCTGACTCGTGCTCGATTATAATTAATTCAAACGGAACTAAAGTCTGCGGCCGGTGTTCGAGCACGGGTTGAGCGCGGGAGTGGGGAAGCGAGCACTGCTGCGTCTGTCTCGTAGCCTCGCACCAGGCCCCGCTCGCCTCACCATTTATCCACGTAATGGGTGGCTGCCGTTCCCTGACGGACTCGTATATTTCACCATTTTCTGTCGCGTTTTTCACGGGCATGCCACTTCATTTGCGGCGTTTTATTTACGGCGGGGTTCGCGCTCGCGGAATAATGTATGCAGGCGTTACAGGGGTGGAAATAATAGGAGCAAACATCCATGACTACACGGGGCGCTCACTCTGGTAGCAGGGATGGTGAGTGAGCACCCGACGCGAGGCTAGCTAGCACCGCCAAGTGCTGCTGCCGCGGTGCTCAACACCAGAAATAAGATAACCTGTTTTTTCAGCGTCCTACTCCAACCAAACACATGTTTAATACATCTGTCGCAATCATTACAGTTGCTGCGAATCGTTTTTTACGAATCGTTTGTTTTACTCACGTGTAATGCCTTTGTGTTTTATTAGAGCGGAGATTTTCAACGTTGATATACTGCAGCGTGGGATACATGACGTTGTTCAAATAGAAACAACTCTTGTGAAAAGTTATAAAAAGTATACTACACAGACTGTTGTTATCGTGCACCCGCCAACCATGAGCCAACCTAAGCAGCCAATCAGGGAAAAGGACAGAATCGATAGAAGTGGGTTATGAAGTTTCATGTGGATTTAATGAAACGCTAATGTAATCAGCATCCCGGAGTGAATTACATCGCCATTCCTACTCGCCCGTATTCCCAACCGAGCATCCCATAAATAAAACGCCGCTCAAACCGCCTAAATACACAACACCAGCACTCGTTAAAATAATAATCCACCAAGTTTGGCGTCACCCTAGAGCCGGCGGGCTGATAATCCACCACGGGAAGTATACAGCGGCTATGTATATGTATTCCCGTCCCCTGTATGACTGTATACTTCAACGCCCCTCAGCTGCCACCCCATTGGACCATTCCACTGACACAGACGGATGAACATGAGTCGAATGTAAATTATGAATGAGTGCTTGGCATGGCGAGATTGAGTTGGATCTGATCTGCGGTGGATCAGAGGCACGGTGCATACCTATTGTTTGTATACATGCATGTATATATGTGTATGTATGCCATAGTGGTGGAGAGAGGGTGGCGCTCGCTTTATGAGTTATGTAGATACCTGCTGGCTTCATCAGGACTTCAAGCCACACAAGGGAGCCGAACAGACTTCTCTGAGTAAACAGGGTTTGAAGCCCGTTTTCCCTTACGGTATTTCAGCGCAATTAGCGAGTTGGTTGATGTATATTATTGGCTCAGGGGCCAGGGTGAGCGGTCTATCACCAAAATTACCCTGATAAAACAAATGTTGGTTGCCAACATTTATATTTGACGGTTGTTTCATAGAATTACCTTCAAATTGCAGACGTTAAACGTAGGCCTCCGGATTACAACATGCTTGTAATATTATAGTAATAGGCGTAGTAAAGACTACGAAATTACAAATGAAGAAAAGCTTGGCGATAACGTACACGAATACTTCAGGTTATCGTAGTCTTCATTATAGTCATACACACTATAAAACGTTGAATTATAGCTGCCATTTCTCCTAGTTTAATACACGGCCGCCAGTAACGCTGATTTATTTTCATTTTTACGACTACAGCAGTTTCAAACGACGTCCATCCGTTGTCAGTGGTCTTTGGCTTTGTTCCAGCGTGGTTTGAGTGTAGGTGGCTAGGGTGTGTTGAAGTGCGTCAGGGTGTTATGGAGTGTGTTGGGGCGAGAAAGTGCGTTAACTTATGTTGAAAGGCACTAGGATGTGCTGAAAAGCCGGTGTACTGAGTTGGGGTACACAAGGGTAAGCTGGAGTGCACTAGACTTTGTTGGGAGTATGCCAGAATGAGTTTGAGTGCGAGGGTTCGAGTTCAGAGTGCGCTGGCTCAAATTAGAAACTCCCTGAGTGTGTTAGAGTACGGTACAGAGTGAGTCAATATTATGGAGTGTGCCGGACCGGGATATTGTGTGCCTGGATTTGTTAAAGTTTGCGCAAATAGGGTGTGTGGATGTGCGCCAGGGTGTACTAGCTTGCGATTGGTCGGTTGGAACGCGCCAGTTTGTGGGTGAAAAGCACTTTACTAGAAAATGTGGGTGCTAAAAAGGCTTTTGGGGTGCTAGAAAGTTGTGTGCTAGTCAACGCTCAAATGCGTCAGTGTAGTGTTGTATTAAAACGCACAGTTTGGTTAGAGCGTTTTTAAGAATGCGTTTTAAGTCTGTGCGTGTTAGAACTCTAGGGAGCTGTAGTGAGTGCGTGCCGCACTTGAACAAAGACAGTGGGGGAGGGAGTGGCTCTAACAACGCACCAACTCAAGCTGCAAGACTATTGTTGACTCATCCATACCAACGGGACTCCCCACGCGTTCTCTCCCCCTGAATAAACGAATACAAAACTCAGGTCCCTTTATTTCCCTTACTATTACTCCCTGAAATAAGTTAGGAGAGAGGGCAAGGGAGAGGCCATAAAGGTGGTGGTGGTGAGGGCTGGTGGGGCTGGCAGAGGCAGGCGGGCAGGCTGGCAGGCAGGCAGGGGTTGCCAGTGATGCCTGCCAACTCTAGCGGAAGACGAGAACACCTCGGCAGCTAGGGCGGGAAGGAGGGAAGGGAGGATGTGGTAGTGGGGGTCGTGGGTTGTGAGGGGGGGGGGGGAGCGGGGTCCGGGAGGGCAGCTGGTGGTGGTGGTTGGCAGTGGGTGAGTGAGGGCGGGTGAGTGTGGCAAGGGTGAGTGAGTGAGTGGAGGTGATGGTGGCAGCTTTGGAGGAGGTAGACTGCGGGTCCCGGGGTGGAGAGTGGTTTAGGGGGGGTTGGGGGGAGCGTTGTCAGCCGGGCGTTGGCTCCCATTTCCCGGCGCAGCTGACGTGCCGGCTACACTGAGCGCCGCTACACTGTATAATAGCCCGCTGGGGAGGACTGCTGCTGGGGGCTAGTGGTGGGGAGGCGCCTCGCTCTCTCTCATCCACCGGAGCTGTGGTGGCGGAGCAGGAAATGTCTGTCTTGCCATCCACGTCAACACCATTATTTCTTTTACTTTTCTGTCTCTTCACAGCACTACCACTGCCACTCACACCACCACCATTACCATTTCTCCATACTACTACCGTCTTCACTACTACTACTACTCCATCTCTCTACACCACGACCATCTCTCCACACCACGACCATCTCTCCACACCACGACCATCTCTCTACACCACGACCATCTCTCTACACCACGACCATCTCTCTACACCACGACCATCTCTCCACACCACGACCATCTCTCCACACCACGACCATCTCTCTACAACACGACCATCTCTCCACACCACGACCATCTCTCCACACCACGACCATCTCTCTACAACACGACCATCTCTCCACACCACGACCATCTCTCTACACCACGACCATCTCTCCACACCACGACCATCTCTCCACACCACGACCATCTCTCCACACCACGACCATCTCTCTACACCACGACCATCTCTCCACACCACGACCATCTCTCTACACCACGACCATCTCTCCACACCACGACCATCTCTCTACACCACGACCATCTCTCCACACCACGACCATCTCTCCACACCACGACCATCTCTCAACACCACGACCATCTCTCTACACCACGACCATCTCTCTACACCACGACCATCTCTCTACACCACGACCATCTCTCCACACCACGACCATCTCTCTACACCACGACCATCTCTCCACACCACGACCATCTCTCCACACCACGACCATCTCTCAACACCACGACCATCTCTCTACAACACGACCATCTCTCCACACCACGACCATCTCTCTACACCACGACCATCTCTCCACACCACGACCATCTCTCCACACCACGACCATCTCTCTACAACACGACCATCTCTCCACACCACGACCATCTCTCTACACCAATACCATCTCTCTACACCACGACCATCTCTCCACACCACGACCATCTCTCCACACCACGACCATCTCTCTACAACACGACCATCTCTCCACACCACGACCATCTCTCTACACCACGACCATCTCTCCACACCACGACCATCTCTCCACACCACGACCATCTCTCCACACCACGACCATCTCTCTACACCACGACCATCTCTCCACACCACGACCATCTCTCTACACCACGACCATCTCTCCACACCACGACCATCTCTCTACACCACGACCATCTCTCCACACCACGACCATCTCTCTACACCACGACCATCTCTCAACACCACGACCATCTCTCTACACCACGACCATCTCTCTACACCACGACCATCTCTCTACACCACGACCATCTCTCCACACCACGACCATCTCTCTACACCACGACCATCTCTCCACACCACGACCATCTCTCCACACCACGACCATCTCTCAACACCACGACCATCTCTCTACAACACGACCATCTCTCCACACCACGACCATCTCTCTACACCACGACCATCTCTCCACACCACGACCATCTCTCCACACCACGACCATCTCTCTACAACACGACCATCTCTCCACACCACGACCATCTCTCTACACCACGACCATCTCTCCACACCACGACCATCTCTCCACACCACGACCATCTCTCCACACCACGACCATCTCTCTACACCACGACCATCTCTCCACACCACGACCATCTCTCTACACCACGACCATCTCTCTACACTACGACCATCTCTCCACACCACGACCATCTCTCTACAACACGACCATCTCTCTACACCACGACCATCTCTCTACACCATGACCATCTCTCCACACCACGACCATCTCTCTACACCACGACCATCTCTCTACACCACGACCATCTCTCTACACCACGACCATCTCTCTATACCACGACCATCTCTCTACACCATGACCATCTCTCCACACCACGACCATCTCTCTACAACATGACCATCTCTCAACTGGTTGATACCTGGTTGATGGGGTTCTGGGAGTTCTTCTACTCCCCAAGCCCGGCCCGAGGCCAGGCTTAACTTGTGAGAGTGTGGTCCACCAGGCTGTTGCTTGGAGCGGCCCGCAGGCCCACATACCCACCACAGCCCGGTGGGTCCGGCACTCCTTGAAGGAATAAATCTAGTTTCCTCTTGAAGATGTCCACGGTTGTTCCGGCAATATTTCTTATGCTTGCTGGGAGGGTGTTGAACAACCGCGGACCTCTGATGTTTATACAGTGTTCTCTGATTGTGCCTATGGCACCCCTGCTCTTCACTGGTTCTATTCTGCATTTTCTTCCATATCGTTCACTTCAGTACGTTGTTATTTTACTGTGTAAATTTGGTACTTGGCCCTCCAGTATCTTCCAGGTGTATATTATTTGATATCTCTCGTCTTCTTTCTAGTGAGTACATTTGGAGGGCTTTGAGACGATCCCCAAAATTTAGGTGCTTTATCGCATCTATGCGTGCCGTATATGTTCTCTGTATTCCCTCTATTTCAGCAATCTCTCCTGCTCTGAAGGGGGAAGTGAGTACTGAGCAGTACCCAAGACGGGACAATACAAGTGACTTGAAGAGTACAACCATTGTGATGGCATCCCTGGATTTGAAAGTTCTCGTAATCCATCCTATCATTTTTCTGGCTGTCGCAATATTTGCTTGGTAATGCTCCCTAAACGTTAGGTCGTCAGACA